GCATCGACCTCGATTCGATATCATTAACCATATCGTAACCATATCATAACCATATCGTATCGACATCGAATCAATAATAATTTAACGATATCGAATCAATATCGTTAAGATATGAATATTGATATCGATTCCATATCGATGTGATATCGTTATGATATCGAATCGACATAGATATCGTAAAGATATCGATTCGATATCGTTACGATATTATTGCGATATCAAATCAATATCGTTAGAATTTTAAGGGTTTCTGTAAAGTATATATTATATGATTGCATTAATCTTTTTAATTTTAATATTTTGGATTATTTTTATAAATATTCAGATTAGTTTATAGATTAGAATCAGCATAAAAATTCTTAACTGGTTAATAATTAGTTAATAAATTCTTTAACTGGTTAATTAACTGATTAATTTAATTAAAGCTGACATTTTATAAATTTAAGCAAGATAAGTGAAATTTTATAATCACAAAAAAATTTAATTCTATCTGAAAATTAAATTTTAATCAAAGTTAAGATTAAATTTTTTAACTGGTTAAAAATTTTTTAACCAGTTAATTTAACCTAACCTATTAATTAACCAGTTAAAAAATACCTGTTTTTAACATTTAGATTAGTCATATTAACTATTATAGTTAATAGTTATTATTTAAAATTTAATATAAAATTATATGTTATGTAATAAATAATATTAATATAATGATACTAATGATATACTTCATATTACAATTTTTTGATATAAAAAAAGTTTATTTTATATTTTAATTTAAATATAAAAGTAAGTTTTTTAAAAGTTTTAATAATTTAATTTATCAATTTATTTTATTTTAATTTTAAAGCTTTAAGAATAAAATTTAAAATATAAAATCTATTTTTTTTACTATTTAATAATTCATAATCAAAATAATCATATGATTTTGAGTAATTAACAAGTTATTATAATGAATGCATTTAATCTTTATATAAATAATATTAAAATTTCATAAAAAAGTTTTTTTTTAATTCAATTATTAAAAAATATTAACAGAATTATCTATTTGCTATTTTATTTTGCTGATTATCAAGGAATAATTATTATAAATATCTATCAGTGTTTTTTAAACATATTTTTTTTAATTTTAAATTTTTTAGACAGGTTTTAAACATATGAAACTTTGTCTAAGTCTGTTTAAAACCTGTTCTAAATTGTCTAAAATTATTTAATTAAAATTAAGCTATTTTTTGATTTTCTCAAATTAAATATAATAATATAATTTTTTTTTAAAACCTAAAGCTCTGATTCTTAATTTATATTATTTTAATTAATTATGGCATTTAAAATATATTTTAAATAGAAATAAAATATAGACAAATTATTAACTTTTAAATAAATGAATAAGTCATTATTGTTTTTAAAAAAAATTCTAAAACAAAGTTATAGATGCAATTTTTCAAAACAAATATTGTAAAAATATATCAATGAATAAAGAATTAGAAGACTAGAGATCATGTTATTAACTACTGAAACAAGTATATATTAAAAAAAAATAATAACCAACTAAATAATCATTTAGGACCTTTGCAAAAGAAAGGAAGGAAACCGCCGGAATAAATTGATTTTACTGTACTTATGATTTTCAGGATTAGATTTAGCAATAACTTATTTTTTTATTTTTCCGACAGTTTCTCACTTTTTTATTGCAAAGATAATTTTTTATTGATAAGACTGGATAATAGTATAAACTTTATTAACGTCTATTAAAAATATAAATCCTTAAAAAATTCGAATTTGTAATTCTATTAAAAATAAAGCAAAGTTAGTAGGTACTGTAGCTTTCTGCTAAGTTTTTAGTAATTCCTTTCAAACCTAGAGAAATTTCTGATTTACATTTATTTCACTGTCTACCTCATTTTATTTTTTTGTTTCGAAATTGTGACACTATAAATAAAAAATAATAAAATACAAAAGACGCAATCATAATATATTAACAGAAATAGCATATCCTTCCAAAAACGAATATTAAAGCAACGAAAACAGTATATATAGGGTAATCAATACCAATCATCACAAATTGAACAGACCACAATGCAGTATGTGTTCACCTATTTTTTTTATAAAATTGAAAAACAAAGGAACCGTTACTATATTATGATTTCAATTTGGTCTAGTGGCATACCAATCAAATTCAAAGAAAAATAATCACATGGTAACAAGGCTAGTGCGGACGGCAGAAATTTTGCCGAGATGAAAATTTTTCGAACAACATAATTATGGATTTACTGATTACCCAGTTTAACTTTATTTATAATATAGTACAAAATTCTTTAAGAAGGACTTTAATTCCCTGCGATTATAGCACAAATTCTGTACTTTTGAGGCAGTTTTAAAAGAAAAGGCGGATACGACGCCCATATACATGTGATACAAGGTAAATAGAGGAATTATATAATTCGCTTATTTAATTAAGCCTTATTTCTTTTTTTTTTTTTTAAAAAAAAGAGATGTTACAAATAATTTTTTTATCCATGCGAGATCACGGAAAAAAAGATATTAAGAATAACTATAAGCAAAATTGAATTAATTCTAATGTAATAAATAAAAGATAGTACATAGATCGTAACACCATAAGCAAACATCCAATCTTAAAATCCGGCTGTAATTACATTTTCTCGATGATCGTTTATCTAATTCTTAGGAATCGTTAAAGCAAACTATTCAAAATAAGAAATCTAAATAAGTATATACTTACCTCGTGTAACTACTTGAGAAATTCTATTCTCCTTAATCAATAATTTTCTCGTTTTATTTATATATTTTGAAGCCTCTTTCACTCTAGAAAATCATGATTAAACAAGTTGCATTCTGGGAATAGTCACGCAATCATAACAAAATCTTATGAAGACAAATGAAGACGCGTAATCGAAATAATTAAATCTGATGATGAATGCAAGGAAATGAAATCAATGAAAGAGTTCCATGTTTGCGTTCGCATTTCACTAAATAAGATAATTTTATCAAAAACAAATCCCCTGAACAAAGATATTATAAAATTCCAAAACTTCCGATGCATGTCATGTTATTATAAATCAATTTGTTTGTTACTCCAAGAATTTTGGCTAACCCTTTGAAAGAATAATGGTTAATATAACAATAAGTTTGGCTTTAATGTTATTTTTACCGCAGCGACAACGGAATCTAGAATTCCGATAAATCAAGAGTAACGTTTGATATTATGTTTCAGATAATTTAATCTCCCCCCAAAAATGATAATAATAAATTGATGCATTTTCCAAAAATTATATATTGTAATTATTGTAATGATAAATATAAGCATGTTGTTACTCTTGTTGTTGAGACTCTTTATTTATTTATTTACTCTGGACATTTTAATATTCTATGGAAGTGTTTTCAAGAAAATAGAACATAAATTCTTTTTATAGAATGTCTGAAATTGGTAATTTAGACAAAGCAATTCTCGATCTGTCATTGGATGTTAGGAACAAACAACAAAACTAAGACATGACCAAAAAAATGAAAATAATAACGAAAAGATGTTTCATATGTTCACTAGGTTGGAAAAAAAATTTTTGTGAATTAATGTTTACTTACTTTGTGGAATTGATCATAAACTTTCAAACTTATTTTTTGTTTTAATTAAAAACCATTCTAATTAAGGATCACCTTTCCTTTGTTGTTACTGATATGTAAACTTATAACTTAATGTATAATAGAATTCCTTTCGAGTCTCGTAACACGTGTGAATGTCACGTTTATCTTTATTTTTGAAGGTTACCGATGCATAGACATGTCTGTGCACTTTTTTGGTTAAAAGCCGTTAGAATTTTTTGTAGTGTCGCTGCGGGCATGAAGTTATAAGAACGATCTTATTATGGAGCCTTCCCGCTATTTAAGAGCTCATTTGGTACTGTGGCGAGGGAGACTAGACATTGCAAAACGCAATACATAACAAAAAATTTTTTTATCCTTTGAAAAGGAAGATAATCTTGGACAAATTCTCGACAAATTACTGGAGCAGCAATGGAATTAATAATCCGTGATTGTGATCGGCATAAGAAAATGATATGTAACTTCTCCTTGCCTAACACTACATTAAAGCTAAATGATCACTGATATAATGTTTTCCTCCATATTTTCATCTAAATTTACAAATATTTTGTCATTAGTTTATGAGTCAATAATGATTGAAGCAAGGGACATTCTCACGATAAAAGATATTACGTTGATTCATCTACATGTATTTATCCCTAGGTGTTGGCATTCAAAAAATTTTAATCGAATCAATCATTTCCAACGAGCGTTAATAATGTATGACAACATAAAAAGATATAATATTAATGAATGAATTCTGGCAGAGCCAAAGAGCTGTACAATACAATCGGAGAAATTAAAAAAAAATTTTTTTCTCTAATCAATAATGGAATTCTACACGATTTTTTCTCTCCTAAGCTATCTCGTTTTAATAAGATATTTCAAAAAAGTATTCGCATGACATAACATGTTAATATATACTTTCCCAAATTTTGTCTTTATTATTTATTTATTTGGAGGTAATTTTAATTTACGTATTTCACGATTTTTCCGCAAGATTAACTAAAAACAATGTGAATAGAGAATGGTAGCACATGAAAAAAAAAGATTTCACGAAAAGGGTTTGAAAGGAATTAATTAACAAATAACGCATTTTGATGATCTCTGTAAATCCAATATTTTTTTTTTTTATATAATTGTTAATTTAAAATACATTCTATTATTATACTATTTTCAGAACTTTACTTTAAATATATTATTTGAATTAACAATTTTTAGTTTATGAACTATATATATTACATTAATATTAAAAAAGGCACAGTTTTGTTTCGATTTAATAAATTTTTATAAATAGGACTCTATTTCACTCATTTTCGAATTTCCCCATAGATATAAAGAAAGTACAAAGAGAAAAAAAAACAGGCTTTACAAAACCTTCCTAAACATTCATTTGGTTTTTATACATTCATTCACTCAACTCCCTTATTCTTCATATTTAAAAGAGATATCTCACTCCACAACTTTTTTTTTGAAAAAAAAATTTTTTTAAAAAATCGAAAAAATGACAGAAAATAAAATAATACCAATAATACCGAAGGATCTGAACCTGTGGAATATTTATCATCCCAGATTCCACCTATTCAATTTAATTTCGACAAGGAGTAATCCATTTAGTTCCAGATTATCAAGACCTCCGCGACCGCCAAACAGTTTCTTTTTGATGAAGAACTGTTTGATGCTGGAATTGCATCACCTCGGATATCGCTTCGCAATGCCAGATGTTTGTCGCCAAGCCAAATTGATTTGGCATGACATACCCCAGGACGTAAAAGACCGATATGATAATCTTGCCTTACAGGCACAGATTCTTCATTCGACATACTTCCCCAACTACAAATTTTCTCCTAGGAAGCGGACCACCTTCAAACCATACGTTCCGGTTCAAGAGTTTGGGATGTCTACTTTTACAGTGAATGGACTAACTTCTCCTACTACCTCTTCCTCTTCCACTTCCACTTCCACTTCCACTTCCTCTTCCTCTCCATCCTTACCGCCAAATTCATCATCAACTTCGCCTATTATACCTGAACAACTAACTCCGACATTTCTGGCAAACGACCCTTATTTGGTAGATCCTACTATAACGAATATGTCCTATTTACCCCCCGAGGACAATAATTTATTTTTTCCAGGGGTTCATATATCCCCCGAGCTTGATAGATATTTTCGAGAGGGATATTTGTTTGAAGAAGGATATTTAGAACCTCTTTAAACATATTTATATTTATGCTGTATATATTAATTAAAAAACCGGACAAACAATCATTTTAAAAAATCGATTTTAAATCGACGCGTATTATATAAGAATAAATTTTAAATCAAATTATTCCCATCGAACTAATTTTATTTATTCACTTCACACATTTTTTTTAATTTCGACTTTTTATGCAATTTTTATCATGTAAATTGCTTATTTTTTTATTAATTAATCCTCTTTTGCTTTATAAGTTTTATATGTCTTTATTTCTTAAGCTACTTCTACTTATACGTACTTTTTGTTCAATTCGGTGGGAATAATGGGAATTTAGATTTTGAAATTTTGTTATATTAAATATTCTATTAAAATATTATATGAACTTATTGTATCATTTATTATGTATATGAAAAAAAAAATAATAATAATAAATATATTAATTATTTCTAGTATTAATTATTACGCCGTGTTTAACTTTTTTTAAATTCATTGATGATATTTAAGTCTAATAGTTTGAATTCCATCTAGAACCATAATTCTTGTAATATGGAATAAGAAAAGTGGCTTAATATTGAATCTCGTACGACAAAAAGTGGCTGCAACGCGTGAGTCACGTTACAAATCTTCATTTTAGATTATTTTATAAAAATTCTCGAAAATTTTTTAGCTAAATACAGGTTAATTTTGTAGATACTAACCAATTACGCCTAGTACAAAAAAAATTTTAATGTAATGGAACCTCCCATACAAACTTCCTAATTTTATTTATAGAATGATAATGTTTTTTTTTTTTTTTTTAAATAAAAAGATTGGAGAACGGTTAAATGCGATCCATTAGTATAATTATTAATAAGTTCGGAATTACAACTCCTGAGCGCGATTATAAAATTTTTCGACACAAAATAAATTTTTTATATTGAATTTTTGATTGTAGTATCACGATGCACTATTTATTACATATCCCTATTACGAAAATTACATTTCATTTATTTTATTTATGTTAAATTTTTTTTTTAATATAGAACATTTCTTTGGTAATAAAGACTTCTTTAAACTAACTTTACTTTCGTTTTATTGGATTATTAACTGCACATTTATATTTATTCAAAACAAATCCTTTTCGTAATAACCAAGAACAATATCATTTTTTTTTGTTTTCCTTAAATGTCTTGAGTTCTCGAACGATCAAATGTTGTTTAAAGTAATAATGTATGATAATCTATTACAAAAAAAAAAAAAAGTTAGTGTTCAAATGGTGGCTTTTTATTTATGGTGAAGTTTTATAATTTGTGATGATAAATAATAAGGGATTGTGTTAAAAACAATATTATAATTTGTTTATTGTAAATAAGATTTCTCACTACATTAATATACCATTTTTAGTTTGCCTTTACAACTGTGGTTTCTTCCTTTCCAATATAAAGTGGCGCTGAATTCCCGATGCACCTTATATTAACATATAAACAAGCAATTACCTTATGAAATTTACCAAAAAGAGTGTTGTGATGGATTATTTGTTATTGATATCATTTTTATTACTAATCACAATCACGGGATTGGCGTAGTTAAAAATTAATACTGAACGAAGATAGGATGTTTAGGTATATTTCTAGCATAGGTAGCGCGATATTATTTCATCCAAGTATTGTTTATACAAACACGAATTTATACTGATTATTTTGGGTAGTATGATTACTTTTTTTTTAGATTTTGTGTGAGGCTTTTTACGTGAGTTACATTGATTTAAAATCTTCTTTATTTTTTTATTATTTTAAATTCTTTATCTTGTTAATTTATTAATGAAACTTGTCATATATATGACAGGTATTTTAAAATCTACGACTATACTTCCCGTATATCGCGAATATTTGCAGAAAATGTTCACGCTCAATATCTTCAAAGTTTCTCACATTTAATGTAATTTATGTAATATCCCACATATCATTGTCAAGAATGATATTCCGCACAAAATTCTCATTTTATATTTAGTCAACCTACGCGACCTTATATTCAATTAGATCGACAGCTTGTACGATTGGATTTCCAAATGATGAGCAAAAAAGGGAATCGAATTAAAGCATATTCTATTTATAATGACGAAAACCAATTGGTGTCATATATGGCTTGTATATGGTGTTAATGGTAAAGTTCATCAATATTTGATGAACTTGGTTTCATCAAAAGGTACGTCGTGAATTGTTGAGAATGTTTTAATTGTTCACATACGTTCATAGGCGATTTATTAATTTTATTCTCATTCAAGTATATAATCTCCGATATTATTCAAGAAAACATATAGAAATTAGAATTAGAAACCTGAAACTCATAAGACTATGCGAATTTCCGATATTATATAATAATAAGGTTGTTGAAATTGTTGAAATATCAACATTGGTAGCATTGGTCCGCATTTTTCCTAGATGACTGAACGATCACACTTTTGAGATGGGGTCGAAAGACCAATAAAGCGAACCTCATCCTTCAATAACTATTTACGTATATAGGATCTGTAGTATTATATTGGATATATTATCAAGGGAGGGAATTTTATATGATAGAACCAATATTAGATTCAGTGAGTCGGTCATCATTGGGTAATAATTCACCGTGGAAGTAAACAGCGAACGGAAAGATCATGTAAAAAAAGTACATCGAATGAAAGGCCGGGATTAAGCTTACAAATATATTTGTGGTGGATAAGGAGGAAAAAAAAATCGAGTGATCTACAAAAAAACATCTTTAAAAGAATTAAAATCAAATTTTCTCATAGCATATAATATCGTGTTCTAGGTAAGATTACCATATGAAAAAATTAAATGTATAAATTTATAAAATAGGAGAGTTTTATTAGGACGTGTTTTAATTCACAACTAGGGTTTTTGGGGCCTGAATTCGATCTTTGGCGTGACTTTTTACGCATGAGTAAGGAAACTATGGTGTAGGTTATCATCTTAGGTTGTCTTTACCTTCTTTCCAGTAGTTGTGGCTGAATGATAGTCGGGTCCTATCATGAACTATTATTATCACTCATTCCATCGGAATTGTCGAAATGCACGTGAGCATTATATTTTTTACGTGACCTTTATTTATAAATTTAGCGTGATGTAAATAAATCATTATTTGAATGAATTTATTTATTATAAAATAAAACAAATCACCCAAGTTTATCTGTCATCTTGGGCAGATTTTTATTACTTTATTTTCAGAAAATGAGAAATCATAAAGAAAACCTTTGCTAAACGCATCAACCTACAGTTCGTAGCTTATTCCTAATAAAACATATACAAAATATATAAACTAATCCTCTTTATAATGCATTTCGCTCAAAGCAACAATAATATACAGTTAATTTTATTCATCATTTAAAAATAATATTTAATTATTTAATTATTTAAAATATTTAAAATAGATTATTATATAAAAATTAAGATTAGGTAAATTAATTTTTAGATTTTATAATTAATTTTTAAAAATGGTAAATTTATATAATAAATAATATTTATTATATTCAATTACATAATAATAATAAATACAATAAAATAAAATAAAATATAATTATTGTTAAATATAATCTATTAAACATATAAATTTTCTAATTAAATACCAAATATATTTAAATTCAAATTTTGAATATAATACTGTTTAATCTTTATAATTAATTTTATCATATTTAATTATATTTTTTTAATAAATACATTTCAATATATAATAAATAATGTATATATTCTGTATAAAATTAAAGTATATTATAAAATTTACATTTATAAAATCATCTAATATTAATTTTTAAAATTTTATTTTTTAGGCCTAAAAAAAATACTTTTAAATTAATAATTAATAAATATAAATAAAAATAAATGATTATTTATAAAATAATTATATTTAATTATTTCTTAAATTCTTAAATAAGTAGAATTTAAAATAAATATATTAATTTCTTAATAAATATAAAATTTAATTTTAGTAATCTTGTCTATAATCATTACTTTTAGTCATATATTATTTTTTTTCAAAATATATATATTTATAAAAAATTTTACTATATTGTAATAATTATACATGAAGTCGAAATGAAAACCCAAAAGTTAAAATGACTTAACTTTAGAAATCAAAGTCAAAATAAAAGTTGCAATAGTTGAAATGACATCATATTATATGATTTTTTATATATAAAAATTCCAAAAAATAAAAAATATACAATCTCAGTTAATATTATTCCATTTCTCATAAAAATATTACTATTTGATTCATTATGACTAAACAGATTCAATGAGCTAACTATTATTAATTTTAGATTAGTCAAAATCAAGTTAGTTGTGATTGAATTATCAGTTAAAATTATAATTCAATAAATTCTACTTTAAATAAAAACTATTCAGATTTTAGAAATACGATCTTAATTATTACAAGATTAATCAATTCAAAATCAAAAATATTTAGCTCATTAGATCTGACTAATCACAAGAAATCAAATAATAATTATTTTATAAATATTAGAATAATATTAATCGAGATCATACAATTTTTGTTTTTTTAGATATTTTATATTAAAAATCATGTGATATAACGTCATTTTGATCATTTTGACTATTTTGAATAGTTTAAATGATCCATTTTAATTCATAT